TAATCCAAACTGCAGGCAGCAGGATAATAAAAGCGAACATATTCTGCTGGCAGATTTCTGCATTTTAAGTTAATTTAGGCGTCAAACTGTTTAAGAGGAGTGATCATAGCGCTCTGATCATCAGCGCTGTGTCTCTCTCCCTGCCAGCTCCCAGATCAGCTTCTCTGATTGGTTGACGCGGCAGCAAAAATGCAGTTTTTCCATCTCGAGCAGCAGAGCGTTTGCGGCGCGTCAGATGCTTAAACGCGCCCGACGCGCTGCTTCAGCTGCTCAGACGCGCTAAGCCTGCTGCTCAAAACGCGCCGCAGGACCTTTTGCTGCGCCTTGACGCGCGACAACCATTGACTTTGCATGTAAACACGCTGCTTCTGTTGCGCCAGCTGCGTCCGGTGTGAACGTAGCCTAAGTCTCGCGCTGTTGAATCGAACAAGTGTTGAATTAACACTGTGCTTTAAACGCAACACCAACACTGGAACACTGGAAATGTCTTGGGTTTGGTTCACAGCCGGCCACCTGACTTTGCTTGTCCTCAGCCACCTTTGGTGGGTTGTTTGAGTTTTGGACTCAGCTTTTGTTTCATTCCCTCCTTCCTGGTCCCCCGTCCACCCACCCTGGGTGAGTCGTTTTTTGTTCTTGGACTTTTTAGAGCATCGGAATCGGCTCTTAGGTGTGGGGTACTGTCATGGTTTTGGTTCTGTCATATCTTTGAATATTCTTTGGTTTTATTTCCATTATTCCTATTTTTGATTGTATTTGAGTTCTTAGGTATTTCTTGTTTGCCCTCTGTTCCCTCTTGTGTCAGTCTACTCTCCCTTCTAGTCTCCTCTGTTCACACCTGCTCCCAATCTACTGATTATCCTGGTCTTTGTTTCTTTCTCTCATATATTCACCTCCTGCTCAGGCACTGTTGCGGGTATTTCTTTGCCCCCTTGTTGTGAGTATTCCTGGTTCTCAATTATTGTGGATTTATGTTTTTGGACTTTTGCTTCTGTTACCATTTTTTTGTTATTAAATCCGAAAATAACCACCTTCAGCCTCAGTGTCTGCATTTAGGTCCTCTTCTAACCTCCACCCAACCTGACAGGAAATGTGACATTGTTGATTATGTATTGAGTGAGTCTGGTTAATGCAGGATCTGGTTAAAGTTATCAGATTTTTACTATAATAAATGATCTTATTCTGTGAAAGGGTTAAAAAAAATTTATTTTCTTTTTTGACAGAAAAACGCTTCCTATTTGTTTTGTCTTTTTTTCCACTTCTGTCATCTTAAAGTTGAGATTTTGACCAAACTAATTTCAGACTGTAGAAACTAAGGTCACATTTCAAGGTGTTTTGTAAATTTTTATAGAGATGAGCATTTCACCAACTGATCCTCCTTCTACTATCTTTCCTTTAAAAAAATAACATCTGTTTGACAACGGTTTTAAGAATTA